AAGTCTCAAACTGCATACAAGACAAGATTCTAGCTCCATTGCCAATCAAAAAACAAAAAAAAAAGGATTCAAGATGATATTAGCAGATTAACAAGGGAATGACAAGCACACAAACATCCATGTATTACTAAAATAAAAGCATCAGGGTACATTTACTAGGAAAAATTCTTCACTGTGGAAATGGCATTAACTTTGGCTTCAACAATCAAAGTATCATTCGCAAGGAAGCCCTTAGAAGCATCATGGAGGTCGGTTAATGACAAGAATGAAGATCTACCCCAGGCGAAGATTGAAGCAGAGAAGCATCTCGCAGCTGCAAGAGAACAATTTGACAATTATTTTTTATTACCGTGAAGATAAAATGTAAATACAAAGGTCTCCATTATCTTCAGCCAAAAAATAAAAAATAAAAAATAAAAAAATTGTGAAAATGTAACATCACCTGTTTGTTCCACATGCTGGCCAGTGTATTGGTTCCCTACAAGCAGCGTGTAATTTACGTATATTTTTCGTTCAGTTGGAAAGGTTCTCATATCATCTAACTCCAAAAAGAGGGACAGGAATAAAAGCATCAGGGTATATTTACTAGGAAAAATTCTTCACTGTGGAAATGGCATTAACTTTGGCTTCAACAATCAAAGTATCATTCACAAGGAAGCCCTTAGAAGCATCATGGAGGTCGGTTAATGACAAGAATGAAGATCTACCCCAGGTGAAGATTGAAGCAGAGAAGCATCTCGCAGCTGCAAGAGAACAATTTGACAATTATTTTTGATTACCATAAAGATAAAATGCAAATGCAAAGGTCTCCATTATCTTCAAAAATAAAAAATAAAAAATTTGTGAAAATGTAACATCACCTGTTTGTTCCACATGCTGGCCAGTGTATTGGTTTACGGGCAGCGTGCAATTTGTTGGACAATCTTCTTTGTATTTAATGAAATAAATTATGTTTGTGTACTAAACAATAAACGTAATACAAAAGAAATATAGGAAATGAAAGAGTTTGTTTGATTACAAAAATCAAACCAGAAGATGAAACAAAATAAATAAAACAGATTTTTATTTTGTTATAAAAACAAAATCAAAATCTGAAACAGAAAAAATAATAAAACAGAAAAATAAATTAATTACTTACCAAATTAATTTGTTGAACAAATTTTCTAATCAAGTCCAGTGTTTAACACTATGTCCTTAAGACAGATTCATCCTTTCCACGGTGCTTTTAGAATATGGACGTCTATCTCCCAGGATAAAATGATCAACATCAAACAATAGCAGCACTACAAATTATTTGCACAACGAACACACTTTGTGTTTATGCTCTTTCTCACAAGAAAACAATGCAGCAAAATGCAGAGAGAGTAAGCAGAATTAAGGACGAAATTTGGAGTAAGAATCAAATGAGAGACTTGTCTATTTATAGGTGTAAAGGTGACTTTTCAGTTTGAATTAAACAGGTAATAAACCTGTTTGAACAGGTAACAGATCTGTTCGGTTTGAATGAATAGATATGGCACTGTTTGGGTTTGAATTTGAACAGATAACTGAATTTGTTCGGTTTCTTTAAACAGATATGGACCTGTTTGGGTGTAGAGAAAAACCGGACAGATTTTTTCCGGAATTAATTTGAATTTTGGACGTACGGACGGCGGCGCGCACGTGTGTTTATTTTTGGGTCCAATGGGTCTAGCCCACTTTGCCCATAACCTCCCTCTCTACAAAACTTGGGTGCTCCTTGGGGCCTACTCTAAGTTACAAACCCAAACCTTATAAACTCACAAAATTCTTCCCATCAAACTAATGTGAGACAAGCCTTTATCCAAACTTTTAAGGATTTTTCACCAAAACTTCATTTCCATGGAGCTCACTTTGGCTTTAATTTCCATTCACCCGATAATGGTTTTGAGCAACCAAATATACTACGTAAATCATAATGCGGCATAGAACGCATTACCACTTAGATCCACCAACTCTGGCATATAGGTCCCACATAAAAAATAGACCAAAGTTAAGGAAAAATCATATTTTCCAAAACCATTTCTAACATAACACGTATATTTTTTGTTCAGTTGGAAAGGTTCTCATATCATCTAACTCTAAAAAGGGGGACAGGCTTTTGGCCCTTTCTCTTGAATCTCCTTTGGGACAGAGCCATATCCTCCTGGATTAATTAGAAAAAGACAGAAAAATAAGTTATTATTGTCAGATTATCAATCTGCTCATCATAATCACAAGGAGTGAAGATGTTAACATTGCATACCACTACTGATTTTCAATAGTGAAAACATCAGAGTAATGAACTTTGTCATCTAGAAACGAGGATTTGTCAATCTTCCAAGTGCGACTAGTAACAAGTCCCTTCAGCACTGTTAGACACTCTCTTCTGCCAGCATAGTTTATAACAAAAACTTCTGCTCCAAACACGCACGTGTCATGGATGAGGTATCCATTAGAAGAATCATTGAACGTAGTAAGCGGTAGTAATTGGGCAAAACCCAACTCGGTTCTCATTCTATGGAAGCGACTTAGCTTGCCATTGGCATCTGAGCATTGAAATAGAAGTAAAATCAACTAGTGTAAAGATATTGATCATTAGTTATTAAAGATATTGAAGTTTTAATTACTTGGAAGGTCATGTATTTGTCTTGAATATGATCATACACAAACAATGTGAATCTCACATTGACCTCCCAACCAAGAGGTAATTTACTTGTCTCTGCAATTACCAAGTACAAAGCGATGTGTCCCTTCCCGGTTCTTTCTTTATCGCCATTTGGGTAGAGAGACAATTTCCTTTAGCCCAAAAGAACAAAGAGTTGGCTCATATATGTCTTTAATTGGAATGAAAAGGAAAACCACAAAAACAAGAGTTTATTATTAACTCAAGTACTCTAACCATTTGTAGTCACTGGCTTCAAAAATGCCTGATTCACAATTCTGCACTGTAGCATCCGACAATAATTGTGCGAGTTGTGCGAATGACTCTATCTTAAGAGTGTAGTGAGCTGGTGGTATATCTCTTAGCGATCTTGCTACATCTGCAAAATGTTAAAGAGATCTAATTTGTTCTGTTTGTATAATCCTACTTATGTAGCATTAGTTCTTTTAAATATATATGAAGTACTCACATCAAACACATGAAAGGTTCTATTTGAATAAATTCCCACAAAGTCACTTTTTTACAGTCAATAGTTTTACGATAAACTATTATGAGCGTCAACGCTGTTGTATCATGCAACTCATTTTTTTACTTAGTGAAATAGCCTAGTGGCAGTCCAACCATTTTGGGGATCTTTAGGTTTACCCACCAAGAATCAAATCATATTATGGTTCGGTTTGGTTTGATTTAGGAGAAAATGTATGACTAAATCGCTATATACAATTTCATAAAATTTAAAACAAAATCAAACAATAAAACATCAAACTAGTTCAAACCATTTGAGATGCAATTTAGTTTAGTTTGAAACCACGGTTTCTAACTTGGCATCATTCATAACCTGCTCACAAAATATTGTTCAATATATCAAATATCAAGCAAAACACAATTTATTTCAAACGTTAAATGACATGCCACATTGATATTTTCAAAAAATGCAACATTTTATCATTTTTCAAATAAGAAGCAACAAGTTATATGTGAGATTGGGGTTACAAGGTTAGGTAATATAAATAAAGGTTCTTATCATGTATTCAAGTGTATGGTAAGAATTTATCTACGTTTATATATCAGAATGGTACAATTTGATTATAAACCAGAACTATGATTAGGAAATTGTGAATCAAAATCATGAATTGGGATTTAGACCAAACCAAATATTAAGTAAACCAAATCAAAGTCTAGACCAAATAGATTTATTATTATTATTTTTAAATATATTTTTGTGCAACCCTAACTTTTTAGATACATTTTAGTAAGATGCATAAAATTGCTTAAACTTTTAAAAATATTCACTAAAAAAAACATGAAAAACAAAAAATTTAATTTTCAAAAAATTAAATCCAGAAAATTAAAACCAAGTATAATTTTAAGATAAACTTTTATTAAGGTCAACTTTCTCACCACATTGTGATCATTCATATTCCATTTACTAATCTATATAATAAAGCAGAAAAGTTTTTGAATTTTCAATTTATTTTTGTCCTATTAAGATATTTGGACGGCTCAGATCTATTCAAATTACAAAATAATGGCTGAGATGTATTTTTTAAAAAATATCCTACATATACATTTTTTACTTTCCTACTTCTCTCTCTTACTTTTTTCTTTTCTTATCCATCCTTCCATGATCTCATGAATAATTCTATTTTTTACTTTCCTACTTCTCTCTCTTACTTTTTTCTTTTCTTATCCATCCTTCCATGATCTCATGAATAATTCTATGAATGATTCCACCTTCCTCCCTCCCACCCTCTTTTCTTTTTATTTTATTTTTTTATTTTTTCCCATTTTTTATTTTTCTCTCTATTTTTTATTTTTTCCTTTTTGTTCACTTATTTTTATTTATACCGTGCCTGAAAGCACGGACATGCACTAGTATATAAATAAATCACAAAATGTAATACACACACTCACATCTGCTTATAGATCTCATATAATATAAGATTGTACATGTGTGCAATGATTTATTTTTGTATTAGTAGCATGGTTGTTCCGAATTTATACAATAATATGAGAGAGAGAGAGAGAGAGAATCCCCCAATCCAAGTCCAGAGCTTGTTGAAAATTTATTTCTAGTTTCGAAGTATAAATGCTCTTCCCGAAGGATTCCCAATGTTCTCAACTCAAGTGATAATTAGTCATTAAGGCACTGCAGAACAACACACATTGATGATGAAACTCATGGGGTTCATAAAATCTCTGCTAAGTGGCTCAATCATTGTTTCACATGAATATTCCAATGGACATTTTTTACCCTAAGATGGAAGATGTAAAACAGTACAAATACAAAAGAAACACCTTCTGCAAAAGAAATAAGCACTAATATTGGGATACTTGATATATAAACTACATAATATCACCATCTTTTTTTTTCTTTTCTTTTTTTTCAATACCAATTTTGATTCGTAAGCTAAGTACTATTCCACGGCAAATATCAGAGACATAAAATTCAATCATAACAAGAAGTCTGAGATTGTATACAAGATTCTAGCTCATAAGTTGGTCCACAAGATGATAAAAGCAGATTAACAGGACAAGCTCACTAACATCCTTCTATTACTAAGATAAAAGCCTAATCTATATTTACTCTGAGAAATTCTTCAATGTGGATAAGACACTGACTTCGGCCTCAACAATTAAAGTATCCTTCACAAGGAATCCCTTAGAAGCATCATGGAGGTCAGTTAACGACAAAAATGAACTGCGGCCCCAGCCAGAGGTTGGAGCAAAGCATGCTGTATCTGCAAGAGAGTAGATGGACAATTATTGTTTGATAACCCAAAGGATCACCATAAATGCAAAAATCATCATCATCTCCAGAAAACAAATGGAATCCCATGGATATGATTTTTTTATTTTTGGGTTAGGTGAGGTTAGCTTCAGACTGGAGGTTTGAATATTTTGTATTTAAAAACATAAATTAGTAATGATCATGTCATCAGTGGCACCAAGATCACCAGATGAACAGAAAAATGGTGGAAATGTAACTTTCACCTGTAGTTTCAACATGTTGGCCGTGACGTTGGTTATAACAAGTATCACAGACATAAAATTCAATCATAACAAGAAGTCTGAGATTGTATACAAGATTCTAGCTCATAAGTTGGTCCACAAGATGATAAAAGCAGATTAACAGGACAAGCTCACTAGCATCCTTCTATTACTAAGATAAAAGCCTAATCTATATTTACTCTGAGAAATTCTTCAATGTGGATAAGACACTGACTTCGGCCTCAACAATTAAAGTATCCTTCACAAGGAATCCCTTAGAAGCATCATGGAGGTCAGTTAACGACAAAAATGAACTGCGGCCCCAGCCAGAGGTTGGAGCAAAGCATGCTGTATCTGCAAGAGAGTAGCTGGACAATTATTGTTTGATAACCCAAAGGATCACCATAAATGCAAAAATCATCATCTCCAGAAAACAAATGGAATCCCATGGATATGATTTTTTTATTTTTGGGTTTGGTGAGGTTAGCTTCAGACTGGAGGTTTGAATATTTTGTATTTAAAAACATAAATTAGTAATGATCATGTCATCAGTGGCACCAAGATCACCAGATGAACAGAAAAATGGTGGAAATGTAACTTTCACCTGTAGTTTCAACATGTTGGCCGTGACATTGGTTCCTCATGAGCAGCTTGTATTTTGCATACGTTTTTCGATCAGAAGGAAATGTTTTCCAATCATCTAACAACAAAAAGAGGGACAAGCATTTGTTGTTTGCCCTTGGATATCCTTTGGGATGGAGCTTTAACTTCCTGGTTTTGTTATAGGAAATCATAAAAAGTACTTATTGTTAGATTATCAATCTGCTTATTGTAACTGAGAGGAGCGAAGTTAATGATTGCATACCACTTCCGATTTCCAATAGTAAAGACTTCAGAATAATGAGTTTTGCCATCTAGAGATGAGAAGTTATCAATCTTCCAAGTGTAAGTATTGTCAAGTCCCTTAAATACAGTTAGACACTCTCCTCTGCCATTATAATTTATAACAAGAACTTCAGCCCCAAACACGCAAGTGTCGTGGATGAGGTATCCATTAGCAGCATCATTAAAAGTACCAAGTGGGAGTAATTGGGCAAAACCCCACTTAGTTTTCATCCTATGAAAGCGTCTAACCTTCCCATTGGCATCTGAGCATTGGAATGGAATAAAATCAGGGGTGTAGAGTAACGCACGAGGGTGAAAATTTAAAAGCCTTACCCATGTTCAAATGAGATTAAATAGTTACTAAAGAATCTAACTACCTTGGATGGTCATGTACTTGTCTTGAATCTGATCATACACAAACAATTTGAAGTTCACATTGACCTCCCAACCAAGAGGTAAATCACTTGTCTCAGCGATTACCAAGTACAGAGAGATGTGTCCTTCCCCATTTCTTTCTTTATCACCATTTGGGTGGAGATACAATTTCCTTTAACACGAAAGAAGAGTCAGCTTATATATATGTCTTAATTGGAATGAAAAGAAAAACTACACAAAAAAATATTTTATTAAGTACTCAACCATTTGTAGCCACCGGCTTCAAAAATATCTGATTCATAATTCTGCACTTTAGCATCCAACAGTAACTGTGCAAGTTCTGAGAATGACTCAATCTTAAGAGTGTAGTGAGCTGGTGGTATATCTCTCAGCGATCTTGCTACATCTGCAAAATGTTAAAGAAAACTAATTTGTTCTGTATTTGTATAATTCAGCCTATGATGCATGGGTTCTTTTAAATATATGAAGTACTCGTGTCACAAACATGACGTCATAAGGGTTCTATACTTGAATAAATTGCCAAAAGAAGTCATCTTTTTCCATGGCAATAATAATTAAAGAATCTCACTGTTTGCGTAATGGGAAAAGCATGAAGTCATAAAAGGAGAGACTTTTATTCTTCCTTGATCACACCTTACACTTAGCCTCTTCAACACAAACATATAAAGCTCATAACCAACTCGACAAAGTCAGCAAAGAACAAGAAACTTTTATTTATTTTTATTTTAAAGCCATTTCATCACATCATGTATCTCAATTCTTCCCCATGCTTCTACTAATTACCATTTGTCTTTTACCAAATACAAGAGGCACTGGAGGAGTTCTAACTCCTTCCATATGTTTTTTTTTTTTTTATATTAAATAATCAGAACTGATTGAGAGCTCTAAATAATAGAGCACTAATAGCTCTAATGAGGTAGAAAGGTTTAAAAAAAAAAAACAACAACAACAACAAGAAGAGAGACACCCATCACATCATGGGGGGAGCCACCTCATTAGTGCTCCCCTAGTGCTCTCTTTTTAGTGCTCCTAAGCATTTTTCTTAAACAATTTTCACAACATTTATTAAATAATATTATATTTACAAAGTATAATTTTTTAATATTAAAATACCTTGTGCAAAAAATATGCACCAACATTATGTGTATATGTATGTATTTACAGTATAAATGTTGTTAACAGTACTAGTAAAAAAATTGGGTATTACCCTATATAAAATCAAAGAGTCTCTTGAATACTTCTCATTCTCAATCACCAAACAATTTGTTGATTAGCTTCATAATTTCAGCATGATATTCAGTTAAATTTTTATAGTAAAAAAATCCACCCTTTTGCCTAATGCAATTTCACAAAATATGATCTGGGTGACAAAAACCCTAGCTTCTCAACCCAAAAAGACAGACACTACTTCATTCAACAGCATATGCCACAATACAAAAGCAAGTCTCTTATGCATACAGACTCTACACACACACACACACACACACACACACATATATATATATATATATATAGAGAGAGAGAGAGAGAGAGAAAGTAACAAAGCATTGTCATGAGGAATAGGGTGGCATGATTTGTCTACCATGTTTTCCACCCCCTTCACACGCCGTGGACGCATAACTCTCTACGGGTGTGTTTGTTTCGAAGGAATAGGGCGTGGATTGAAATATTAGTTCCACTAGAATCCTAGTTTAATAGGTTATTGTTTGTTTGAAAAATTTTGTTTTCATAAATCTTATTTTATGGGATGGGATAGAAATTATGGGATAACTCATATTATGGGATTAGATAATGAAATTATATTTTTATCTTCTATTATTTAATTATATATTATATTTAGTAAAATTTAAAAAAAATTTAAATGTCTCAATTTAAAAATAAAATAATTTTATTTAATTTTTATTTTTCACCCATCACATCATGGGGGGAGCCACCTCATTAGTGCTCCCCTAGTGCTCTCTTTTTAGTGCTCCTAAGCATTTTTCTTAAACAATTTTCACAATATTTATTAAATAATATTATATTTACAAAGTATAATTTTTTAATATTAAAATACCTTGTGCAAAAAATATGCACCAACATTATGTATATATGTATGTATTTACAGTATAAATGATGTTAACAGTACTAGTAAAAAAATTGGGTATTACCCTATATAAAATCAAAGAGTCTCTTGAATACTTCTCATTCTCAATCACCAAACAGTTTGTTGATTAGCTTCATAATTTCAGCATGATATTCAGTTAAATTTTTATAGTAAAAAAAATCCACCCTTTTGCCTAATGCAATTTCACAAAATATGATCTGGGTGACAAAAACCCTAGCTTCTCAACCCAAAAAGACAGACACTACTTCATTCAACCGCATATGCCACAATACAAAGCAAGTCTTTTATGCATACAGACTCTACACACACATATATATATATAGAGAGAGAGAGAGAGAGAGAGTACCAAAGTCGCCACTGTCATGAGGAATAGGGTGGCATGATTTGTCTTCCATGTTTTCCACCACCTTCACACGCCGTGGACGCATAACTCTCTGCGGGTGTGTTTGTTTTGAATGGTTAGGGTGTGCGATTGAAATATTAGGCGTTGTTTGGGATGATTTAAATAAGTGTATTTTTTGATTTTTTACGAAAAGATGTGTAGAAAAGTAGAGAGGTGATGTGATGGAAAAAAGATAAAAAGATAGATTATTTAGGTGATGCCAAACTATCCTGAATAATAGTCTGAATAATAGCCTATTGTTTGTTTGAAAAATTTTGTTTCAGGCCATATTAGTCTCATAAATATGGAAATATCTTATTCTATGGCGGTGGGATAGAAATCATGGATAACTTATCTCATGAGATTAGACAATGAAATTATATTTTTGCTTTCTAGTATTTAATTATGTATTATATTTAGTAAAATTTAAAAAAATTTAAATGTCTCAATTTAAAAATAAAATAATTTTATTTAATTTTTATTTTTGTTTTATTTATTTAATTTTTTAAAATATTTTTTTATAGATATTTATTGATGTTTTATTTTAAAATGGAGCCTCAGCTCCGAGTCCTTCCAAGTTAGTGCCAGAGGCATATCACCTGTACCTGAAATAGTTTACCTTATAGAGTTTCAACCTAGTAGAGATATACTACACAACATATGGACCATGACAAGACTAAAGAGGAGTATGTTCATGCCATGCTCATGATAAAACAATAAAATAAAATAAATTTTTATTTAATCTAGCTAAAAATAATTAAAATATTAAAATTATGTTTAATATTGCTATTACTTAGTACATAATTGAAAATAATAAAATAGTCATTTGAACATTTATTCTTTTCCATAATATCCAAATAAACATTTGATTCACTAAAAATAGTCTATGACTAAATAAACATAGGATACAAATCCAGTCCAACCAAATAGTCCAGAAACAATATATCTCAGGACTAATAGTCCAATAGATTATAATCTCCCTTTATCCAATCCGTCCAAACAAACACACCATACTGGTCTTCGTTTAATTTTCGACCTATTTTATGATAATTTCAACATCTAAAAAAAAAGATAGAATTAATGAAAGAGATGAGTGGATAACTACATTGAGACTCATAAGATAATGATAAAATATATATATTTATCTTCAATGATTATGTAGTCTTCTTTCTTCTATGGAAGTATGAAATATTTTATTTATTTATTTATTTATGCCTCGCTTCTAGTTTAGAAAGTTTACATTAAATAGGAAAACTATTAACCTATTC